TATATAAAGCAACAGTCTAGAAGGAAAGCACAAGCAAAAAGAAATTTTAAAAGACAGACTGGACTACATAAAAATTAAACTTCTGTGCAGAAAATGATACCACCAAGAAAATGTAAGAACAACTCACAGAATGGAAGAAAGTATTTGCAAATCATATATCTGGTAAGAAACTTCTATCCAGAATATATAAAGAACTCCTACAACTTCAACAATAGAAAGACAACCCAATTAAAAACTGAGCAAAGGATCTGAATAGACCTTTTCTCCAAAGAAGATAAACAAATGACTAATAAGCACATGAAAAGATTAGCCATTGGGGAAATGCAAATCAAAACTACAGTGAATTGCAGCTTCAAACCCACTAAGATACCTAATATAAAACAAACAAACAAACAAACAAAAAAAAACCATAACAAGTGGTGACAAGAATGTGGAGAAACTGGAACCCTCATGCATTGCTGGTGGGAATGTAAAATGGTGCTGAGATTTTAGAGAACAGTTTGGCAGAGGCGCCTGGGTGGCTCAGTTGATTAAGCATCCTGCTCTTGGTTTTGGCTCAGGTCATGATCTCAGGGTCATGAGATCAAGCCTGCAGTGGGCCCCATGCTGGATGGAGGCTGGCTGCTTACCTAGAAATTCTACTCCTAGGTATCTACCCAAGAGAAGAGAATACATATGTCCACACAAAAATTAGTACAATCATGTTCACAGAAGCAGTGTTCTAAAACCCCAAATGGAAATAACCCAAATATCAATCAACTCACGAATAAATAAAATGTGGTATACCCACACCATGGAATACTACTCAACCATGAAAAGAAATTAAGTACTGACACAAGCTACCACATGGATGAGCCCTGAAAATATTATGCTAAGTCACTCTCACACACACACACACACACACACACACACAGTACAGTTCCATCTATATGAAATGTCCAGAAGAGACAAATACATAAAGACAGAAAGTTGTGATTGCCTGGGGAGTGGGTAAAGAATGGAGAACGACTACTAATGGATGCTAAAGTGATAAAAATGTTCTAAAATTAAATTATGGTAGTGGTTACACAATTCTGTGAATATACTAAAAACCAGTGAATTGTATACTTTAAAGGGGTGAACTATTTGCTGTATTAATTATATCTCAATAAAGCTATATTTTTAAAGGTTATATATTTCACGTTACATTTAAAAGCTCAAAACAAAATCTTAAATAGCAATTAAGGGATGACTGTGGCTCAGTCAGTTAAGTGTATGCCTTCAGCTCAGGTCATAATCTCGGGGTCCTGGGACTGAGTACCACACTGGGCTCCTTGCTCAGCGGGGAGGCTGCCTCTCCCTCTGCCTGCTGCTCCCCCTGCTTGTGCACTCTCTCCCTCGCTCTCTGACAAATAAATAAATAAATAACTTTTTTAAAAAAGGCAATAAGACTGAATGTTAATTGCTAGTACCCAAAGAGCAAAATGAGGAAATGCTTTCTACTGAATAGTGTTATGAAAGAAGACTAGAAATAAGAGATGGGATTTGAAAAATGAAAATACGGAGCCATTGTTCATGAGTGATTTCTGATCAATATTTTAGTATTAGCACTACAGAGGAGGAATCAATATTATTTTAAAAATAAGACAGGCCCTGGGGCGCATGGGTGGCTCAGTTGGTTAAGCATCCAACTCTTGATTTCAGCTCAGGTCACGATCTTACAAAGATCAAGCCCCGTGATGGGCTCAGCACTCAGCACAGATTCTGCTTGAGTCTCTCTCCCTCTGCCCCTCTTCCTGCTCACGCAAGCACTCTCTCTCAAAGAAATTAAATCTTTTTTAAAAAACTAATTAAAAATAAAAAAAATTTTAAAAGACAGGCCCCAATATCTTATGGGCTGCTTTCCTCATCTGCAAAATTAGGACTTGCAGCTAACAAAATAATTTTTAAGAGGAAGACAGAGAAGAAAGAGATGGCTGCTTTCCCAAAAGAACGTGTTAGGCAACAGCCTCTGTGTGCGTGGATATGCTTGGGCCTTTCAGAATACAGTGAAAAAGGAGAGGCACTCCCTTATGATGTATGGTAACTGACTACCTTTGCATGCACTGTTCAAGATTAAAATAAGGAGAGTTATACAATGAAAAAGTCAAGCCACTGTGGCTCCTCAAACAAAAAGGGGTAAGATTGGAAGAAAAATTGGATATCGCAGAAGGGAAAGAAAGCACGTAATGGTTCACAAGCAATAGCCAGCAAAGGAAAGACTGGTTAGGCAGTGCATCTTCGTGGATTTTTGTGAGGAGCAGGAATTGTGGGGATGGGGATGGGGATACTAATCTTGTAGTTACCACAATTCACTGTTTTCTTCTTTAGCTCCTCTTCCATTACAAAACCTAGCTCAGGAACAGCTAAGAACCTGGTGCTTTAGAAATGCCACTCCAAAAGATAGAAGAAATAGAAAGGACTATGAAAAGGGGTGGAGGAACTTGAGATTTAGAGTTGAGGAGAAAGTTTAGGAAGAGAGCCTACCACCTTAATCAAACCTACGTAATAACTGTGATGGAAAAACAGAGGGGCTAGTCATGATGGAGGGGCATCCAGGGTAAGGCATGGGCTCTGAAACATCAAGTCTGTGCCTGCTGCTGTCTCTGAAGGGGACAGGGGGTGAGATCATCCCCTATGAATATGGAGAGAAACTACCCAGACTAAAGAAAAAAACCGTAGGTACTAGTCTTGCATTACAGGATGTTCAAGTGACTGAATCTTGGGGATGATAGTAAGATTTAGGGTTACCTGCAAAATACAGGATAAGATCAAAAATGAAGAGTCCCTAACAATGATCCAGGGAGTCAGGAAAAGTAATTAAAACTTGTAGGACAGGGCAGTAGATCTCAAACCTTTTTTTTTAAAAAACCATGTCCCCTTAGGGCAAAAGATCCCATAATCCACCTACCCCCACAAAACCCTACCTTCTAGGGAAAAAAGAACTTGGTGATAATAATGAAGCAAATTTGGGGGAGAATGGGTAACATATTTTAACCATAACGCATATAGCCTAAGTCAAGACACTAGAAAATTACAGGCCAAACAGATATGCCCTATGAATCAGTGGAGAGTTAACATAATAAATCACAACAAACTACACTGATAACACTAAATTAAAGTCACTTATCATAGAAACCAAGAACCACAGGAATTGAAAACCACAACCAACTCAAGACAATACTGATGGTGTTCTGATAAAGAATCCTTCCTAAAAACTCTGGTAATCCCAACTGCTCCAGTAGGAACTTTGCTTGGCTCCAAACTGCAGCTCAGTGGCCAAATTTCTTAGTAAAATACTGAGACAGCATCCTCAGTAACTCCAGTAACATTCTGTGCCATAAAAACCCAATGTTAATAACCATTAATAATGCACTTAGAATATGTGCATTATTATAGTATATTATATAGTATATACTGTATGTGCTATATAATATAGTATATATATTTATATTATCATATATTTTATATATTATATATCATACATATATGTATTATATTAGAATATAGAATAATGCACTTCTGTAGTTTTTATAAAAGATAATGAAATAAGGATCATTCACCCTTAAGAGCTCAAGAAAATGGAAAAAGAAAGGTATATGAAGGTCATGATCCCAGTGCAAAAAGGGACAAAGGCAAACTACTCAGTGCCCCTGAGAAGAAAGATGTGCAGGTGGAGATGGGGGGGAAAGCCTCCAGCCTGCTCCCCCTCCAAACACTCTTTCATTAGGCAACTCTCCCTATGGGAGAAAAGTAAAAAAGCATTGAGTAATAACTCCTTTTTTGAAGGTAGGAACGGTATCCCAAGACTGTACAAGGTGGGTAGGAGAATTAACCATCTACTGATTGCATGGAGATCGGGAGGTACAACAGGAAAGATAAAGATGAGTTAGTTCCAGGGCACTAGCGAACAGAGGGGAAAGGGAAAGGTGATTTGAAATTGAATTTGGTGAGTAATTAACAGGAAGTACAGAGAGATGATAATCACCAACTGAGACATAACAACAGAGATTAAGAATGCAGACCCTGGGTCCAGGCAGCCTGAGGAGGAATCACTACTCCGCCACTTTTCTGTGTGACCTTGGGAAAGTCACTTAACATCTCTGTGCCTCATCTGTAAAATGAGGGTAATAATAGGACCCACCTAATAAGATTGTTCCGCGACTGAATTAAGTTCCATTTGTAAATTGCTTAATACAGTGTCTTGCACTGTACATAGTAAGTGGTGCCTAAGTTTTGATAAATACATGAAGTTGAGGTAAGCAGAGGTTTGTTTTGACATCTACGAATAAAATGGGGGTGAGGGGGCAAAGTGAGAGTATAAGGGGGTAGGCAGAAGGGGTAATAACTTTTTCTCAACGATGAGACTACAATGAGGCTTCACCTTTGGAAAAGGTCTTCCTACTAACAGGGTTCAGCAAGTACCCGATCCCAGGAGAGGGGCGCGGGTTGAAGGAAACTTCCTTCCTTCCAGGCCTAAGATTTTCAGAAACTCGTTTCTGAGAAGTGACTGTGATTTTAAGGAGGCACGAGTTTAACTTCCCATCATCAGACCGTGGGTGAATTTATGTTTTGTCTCTAAAGCAGGACTTGTGTCTAGGACAGGATGGAGTTTGAGTCCGAGGGGAAGGGTGATGTCCCCAGGGGAAAAATCTGCTAAGAGCCACCATCTGCCGGGCGCACTTTAGTCTCCCAGCTCCGTACTAGCCTCGGAGGGAGAACCAAGACTGCCCCAGCCTGGAGGAAGGCAAGAGGAGTCTCCAGAGAAACTGGGCTGTGGGCGCCTGCGATCGAGGAGGGACCCCATGTCCGGACTGCGGAGGGAGACCCGCCTCGCCGAGGGTGGAGGTCGCTCGCAGTGCTCCCCGAAGGGAGGGGCTGGCGCTGGCCCTGCGGGCAGCCGGCCGGGCGCACAGCCCTGAAAGAGCCTGGCTCCAGTCCCGCCCGTGCCCGCCCATCGATGGCCCGGGTCCCCAGGGTACCTGAGGGTGGGCCCGATGCAGGCCGTGTCGGTGCTCTCGATCTCTCGCAGGATCCGCTCGTGCTCCGCGGCTGTCTCCAGGCTCTCCGCCTCCGCCATCTTACCCCGCTCCATAGACTTGGGGAGCCCCGCAGCGCGTCCCCTCCTTCGACTCTGCTCACCTTTCGCTCCCTCTCTCACCCTAGGCTCTAGAGCCTCCCCGGCCTCCGACTACCCGCAGGGCGACCCCTCCCTCGGACTCGGCACGCCCCCTTGCATCACCGCGTCCGCCGACTTCTCGCGCGACGCCTGCTGGGACTTGTAGTTCTCTGGGCAATAACCGACTGGGTCCTGCTCATTTATTCTTAGAATCCACAAATACGTGTAGAAAACCCCACTATAAGCCAGGAACAGTTAACGACACCGCATGTGCAACGGTGACCAACCCAGGCAATGGCACTGATTCTACAAATTCTTGTTTAAGACCCTTGCCACAAAGTGCACAAGGTTCTATACACGCGAATAAGAAGAAAGAGCAGTCTGGGTTTCTGCAGATAGCGATCTTATAAGCTCTCAGGGGGAGAAAGGTGGAGAATCCCCAAACTAAGAAATAAGACAGAATGTGGCTGTGAGCCAGTTCTGAGAATCGAGTTCAGGGATCACTTCTGGCTGTGAAGGATTCATAGAAAGACTGGGCCTGGTAGTTTAAAAGGTGTGATTGGAAGGTGTTAGGAGCATCCAAAAACCCAACAAAAAAATAACTTTATATGCCCTGGTGTGTAGAGAAGTAGTAGTAAAAGATGGAACCGCAAAGGTACCCTGAAGAGAAATACTGGGCTGATTTGTACTTTATTCTAATGGTTCCACCAGGCCAACAACTGACTGCATCAGAAGCACTTGGAAACATTTTTTCTTTAATACAGACTAAAGGTCCTAAACTATCTGGACATTCTGATCCAGGCATTTCCATTTCATAAATTCCCCAGATTAGAATTTCACAATCATATTTATTGATCACTACTTGAGCTTTTACGTAATACAGTGAATGGAAATCCAATGCAGGTTTTTAAGAGTGACACAATCAGAACCTTGGCATGAAATTTGATCAAGAACAAGTGTGTGATGTCTGCAGAGATAGAAAATTTAGAGATGGCTGGACACTATAAGAATTTTAAGGCTTAAACCCAGAAAGTAGCCATGAGAATGAAAGAGAGTGGAGAAATGGAAAAAAGCAGAATTGGCAAGACTTACTAGATATGGGGATGGAGGACCTTGGGTATCACTCAAGGTTTGGAGCAGAGTGACTGGGAGAATGGTTTGCCATCAACAAAAAGGCGTGTAAGAACCACACTGGAAGTAGAGGGTAAATCATTTCTACTCCAGCTATATACCATGGAGTATTTATTATGTAATCATTAAAGAGAAAAAGAAAACACTCTATATTCAGATATGAAACTGTCTCCAAATTGTAGGATTGAGCTGGGAAAAAGCAAGGCATGAAACAGTATACAGAACATGTTTTCATTTTTTTTGAAAAGAATATTTATATATACATATATATGCTTATATATACTTGAAATATGACATAGAACATTTCTGAAAAGATTCCCAAGGAGCACCTGCATGGCATGTGGTTAAGCATCTGACTCTTGCTTTTGGCTGAGGTTATGATCTCAGGGTCCTGGGATCAAGCCCCACATTGGGCTTTTCAATCAGCATGGAGTATGCTTGAGATTCTCTCTCCCTCTCCCTCTGCCCCTCCCATTCATGCTCTCCCTCTCTCAAATAAATAAATAAATCTTTTTTAAAAAGATTGCCAAGAAACTGTTAACAGTAGTGGCAGCCAGAAGCAGGATTGGAAAGAAGGGGCCTGAAGTAAGAGAAAGGTCATTTTTAATTATGTATGCACTTTTGAAATTCTTTCCCTTGTGCATATATTGCTTTTTTCAATAAAGTAGTAGTTATTAACTGAAAACACATTTTTAAAAATAAACAAACCAACAGAGAGGAGAATGAGTTACAAGTCCTAGTGTTTGCCAAGAACTGAGTAAGTTGCTAAACCTGTATGTTTCTCGATAATCTCTGGCTGTCCTCATTTTATTTAATTACTCATGCTTAAACAATCTCAGACAGATGTAGGAGAGGCAGGGAAAGTATGGAGCCTTTCATATTTCTAAAGATCTCTTGAAATACATGACAGAGGGTCCCTTCAGACATGCATTTTAACATCTCACTCAGCAAAAAACGTTTTGTCCATTACAGGAAGCAGACTGGTACGTAGACCAGATATGTATAGTAGTGATTAAAGTAGCTTCCGCTGCTGTCAGCAGCTTTTTTGAGCCCTCGCGGAATCCAGAAATCTCACACATGACCAACAAGGGTGTCTGGAGTGACGGGTGTACAAAGCTCCAGTGAAGACGGCCTGCCTGATGGGAGTGGCTCTGAATAGAGAGGATGTCAGGTCAGCGTGGAATGACCAGACAAGCACTCAACTGAGAGTCAGAGGGCCTTTAATCCAGTCCCAGCACTGGCAGTTAAACTATACAGAGAATTTTCTGAGCGCCAGGCATAATACACAAAGTAAGCACTTCACCTACATCACTGAATTCTTACATTAATCTTTCACAGTAGACATTGTGTGTTCCATTTTACAGATGAGAAAGCTGGGAGATTATAAAGCTGAGGTAATACTTCAAGTCTCATGGCTAGTAAATGCTGAAACGGATATTTGAACTGAGGTCCCATTGCCCATTTCCTGACCATCCATCCGGCCAGACCGTCCCACCCACACCCCCACTGCCATGAGTGGCTTGTAAAAGCTGACACAAATCACTCTGTCTGCATCCACGTTACTGGCATGGATTGCATAATTTCTCAGCCCCCTTCCAAATCGCCCTGAAGGCCTCTTCACAGAACTACCTTCAGGGAAAGGCAACTCAACCATTACACAGCTTGGCTGAGACTTTTCTCAAATTGTCACACAGCAGCAAACCTTCTCTAACAAACGTACTGAAAAACATCCTCACAGAAGTGGGCCTGCACAGTTCAAAGCCATGTTCAAGGGTCGACCGTATTGATACGTGCCTCTACCTTGTTTCCATCACACTGGGTGGTCTTGGGCAGTAGCAGCAATGACGCTACCAATCATGAAATGGCTGTGGGGCTCCAGGAACATGATAGGATTTCCCTCCCTCAGGCTTCACCACCATTGTGTTGTGAGACAAAAATGGTTTTCTCCACTTTAATGATGAAAAACTAAGACCCGGTGTGGTTCAGTAACTTGCCCAAGGTCAGATGGCAAATAACTTGACAGACTGAGGTTAGTGGCCAGGCCCAACCTCAAAGCTCATACAATTTCTTTGATTGTTTTGACTGTTCAAGTCTGTCTCTCCAGCTGTGCCACAAGCTCCCTGGGGGCGGGAAGCTTGCCCCGTTAGACCCGACATGTCTTGAATATGGAGCATCATGCTCCTTCCTTCAGTCTCTCTCCACAGTCCTGAGGTAGGATTCTATGTCGGCAGGAGGGTGAAGGAGAACAATCACCGAACAGCACATGACAGCAGCTCAGCCCCCAGGGCTCTCTTTGTCATGTTTGCTGCTCCAACCTCTTTAGGGGCTGTGAGGAGGCCTCCCTGGAGCCTGAGCTCACTGGGTCCCCTGGGCGGTGATGTCAACCTCTTGCTCTGCCAGACCCTTGAGGCCACAGTCACACTGACATCACCCATGTTTCCATGGCACTTAGTAAGGAACTGAGACCTTGTCCACAGGCCTCTGCCTGAGGCAACTTCTGTAATCATGATTTTGGGGGTCCTTTCCTTTGCCCAGAGATCTACCTCAATTTCACGTGTGAGCAGCTTTTCTTGCCATCTCTCATCCTTACTTTGCCTGTCCCTGAAAACGGTAAGCTGCACTCATTCCTTCACTCTACACATAACACTGCCTGAGATCTCTGATATGCCCATAAGTAAATCAGGAAACACAAGAATTTAAAAAAAAAAAAAAAATCTTCCCCAAAGATCTTGTCAGTCTGGAGAAGGGAGAAGTGAAGCAAGAGGAAAATAGGACAACTTGTCAACTTTTCCAGGACCTGACTGTCGCAGGGTGGCTCCACTTTAAAGAGGTCGGGGAGTTGTAAGGACTTCAACCCTGAACTTCTGGGTTTTTAACTCGTCAGTCTTTGTTAGCAATAAAGAAGCCATTTCCCTAGAGGGTTTCTCCTCTCCATTCACCAACTCCTAGTTTCATTCATTTTGGCAAGTAGTCCTCAAACAACCAAAGAGTCACTTACCCAAATACCTGGCACCACAGGATGTGGTTGAAAACACAAACTAGACAGATATTCCTCAAGTTAAATTCCTCACATCGTTCCCATCGCACTTAGAACAAAATCCAAACTTAAACCATCGTCCTGTGCACCTTCCCCCGGACCATCCCAGCCTCATCTCGCGCTGCTCTCTCTGACTTTCAGCCATCTTAAAGACCTGCAAACACACCAAAATCTTGACCACTTCAGGCTTCACAATGTACGCTTCTGTGGAGGGCGGCAGGATGAGTGGGAGTTAGTAGGTCTTAGGTCAGTTATCTCCTGGAGAGACCATGACAAACAGAACATGACTGAAGTGACTAATGACTTAAGCATGGTGTTTAGAAACTGGGAATGCAGGAAATGGTGCATTACGTTAATTCTCGTCAATCAAATTGAATCTGCCTCCTGGTGAGCACAGATTTAGTCTCAGTCCTGGCTTGGGCAAAGGTCCGGGAGCTTTCCTGAAGCAGAACATTCAAGGGGTGCTCCTCAGCTGTCATGTTCATTGTCCCAGCCCTGGGTGGGGGGGGGTCCTGGGAAGTAGCTCCACTGCCTCCAAACCACCCTTCCCCTTAGGAAACATTCTGGGGTCGGTAACCCTGGTGTCTGGGGTGCATTGGTTGGCCATCCCCTTCTCCCCTCTCACCACCTCCACAGGGCACCCCAAGGGGACAGGCCAGGGTTCCCAGATGTTTGAGAACCCCTAAGTCACCCCCCAAATCTTGGAGAATTCTTCCCTCCATTCTACCCTCTCCACTTCAGCCTTATTCCTCCAAACACTGGCATGCTCCCTCTCCCAATACCCTAGGGTCACCCCACTGAGGAACTCAGACTTCCCTCTGACTACTTTCATTTCTGCCTCACCATTAAAATGGCTCTGAGACAATGGTATCCGAAGATAGACTGTCTCTTTGGAATGGGAGAAAGAAATCAGGAAAGTGAAGGACAAAGT